ATTTTTACATCCCCGGAACAAAGAAGTGGCCCATCTTAGAAAATCCATGTGTAGCAGTGAAGTGGAAGTAAGGCTTCCTTTAGAGATTTTTCATCCTGTACATACTTTTCCTTTACAGACACTTTTCACGCCAAACAGGACTATTTGCTATTCCCCACACATTCCCTGTTCTGTTGCTTAGATATCTTTGTATATGCCGAGCCGACTGCCTGAAATGCCCTTCTGCATGTGCGCATCTTCACCGAGGTGGAACTCCCATTTCTGTCTCTCTGCCGAAACTCTTCTAGCTCACGCGTCAGACGTGTGAGAGCTCTCCCTCACTGCACTTTCTGCCCCTTGCTTCTAGGGCTATTATCCCTCATAATTTTTCTATCTCACAGACTGGCAAGCTCTTCTTTAAACCTAACATCCTACTGATTTTTTTTTTCACATAGTAGGTGCTGGATAGAGACTAGATGGATTCAAAGGGAAGAAGTCATTTAAACCAGTTGGTGGGGTTTCCTATAAAATGACAAGGTTCAAACTCATGGGCATTGGGAGTTGTGGTCACATTTTTTCATCTCTATGTTATTAAATACAGTGTAGCAGGAAGGCAGCATTATTTTTTATCTTTTTTCTTTCCTTTTCTAGGAATACATACCCTTTGATCTGATTAGTATGGGCCTGTCCATTTGCAAACAGATATCTACAGAATGCCACAGAGAGGGTGAGAAAGAGAGAAATTTTCATTTAAATTACTAGAAAGATTTAACAGCTTTTAGACACTGAGGAATTTCTTTTCTCTTTCATAATAAGCCAGCAGCACTCTGTTCAATGACATTTAAGAGCATTCATATTTGAGTAGTGGTAACAAGGTTAAATATAATCAGGAGACTGACATTATATTAAACTTTTATCTATTAAATTCAACAGATGCTTACCGAGTTTCTACTGTGTGCAAGGCCCAAAGCTTGGTATGATTCTGTGAAAAACAAAGAAGGGTTATGTGACATCCCTTAAAGAGGGGAACATTAGGAAATGCAGATAGGACAAGTAACATAACATGAGACACTCTGTGGAATAAGCTCCAGAAGAGGCAGCAAGTCCTGCAAAGACAGACAAAGAGACAGAGGTTATCCATCTTTTGGGACACTCATCCGAACATTTATTCTTTCATTTCACACACCAACTTGCTAATCACGGGGCCTTGGAGCATGCAATGACAGGTGCCTTTAGAAAGTACATGAAAATAATGGATTAAAAAAATTAATGCAAATTAACTAAAAGCAATAGAAGGCAACGGAAATTTCAAACAAATTTATAGACATTTTAACATTGCCCATATCATGGGATAAATTGTTCAGGGAAAAATTAGCATAATGATTATTTTCATATTCATACAGATTTAAGACCTGTGTTTCTGAGAACAGCACTTTCCTTTAAAACACAGAAAGGAGAACAGCTTATTTCAGAACAGGGGCTTTAGTGCTATGCAAACCTCATTCAAACCATAGCCTGAAAAAAACAAAAAACAAAAAACAAAAAAAAACCATAGCCTGCGTGATGCAGACACCTCTCCGACTTCACCTACACGAAGGTCTCCTAAACTGGAAAATTAGAAGTAACAACAACGATAATAAAGCCTATTTCATGGGTGGTCAAGAGGATTAAACGAAATGCTCCAGGGAAATGACAGCAGCTGTCACAAAAGAAGGGCCCAAGAAACAGTGGCTCTTAAAACCATCTTCCTCACTTTACCTCCTACCCTCATTCTCAGTGCCCCTCCCCATCCCCCAGCCTTGGAAGCCTTCGTGTTCACACGATTTTGGTCTGAAATACTAAGAAACAGGCAAATAAACCCCATGGAGATGAAGAGCAGCAGACCACGAAACATCTCCCGAAGGTCAGCACAGTGATGACCAGCAGGCTCCCAAAGGCCAGTACACCCTGTCCTGGTCCTGCTGCTGGGGACATGCATGTTGTTGCCGTGGGACAAGGATGACACCTGCTTCCCTCCACATGAAAGCATCAGGCTTCGCCCTCACCCCCCCTGCAGAGGGTGGCTTTGAAGCCCCAGGCAGCCCAAGGAGTCTCCTCTCTGCCTGGGATGGCACCAGGAGCACTGAGCAGAAGCCACGGCAAGAGCAGGGGGGATGCAGACCAGAACCGCATGGCAAGGGCTCCGTGACCTACACTGTCCCTGGGACCCAAGCCCCTACACACCAGAAACTACACATTCGATCTGAGTGGAACAACAATGTGCTAAAAGAAAAGACTTAAGTAGTCTCTAGAGTTTCCTAACACAATAACCAAATATCCAGGATATAATAAAAGATCACCTGTCATGCCCCAAACCAGGGAAGCCACGATCAAAAGAAGAAAAGACACTGTGCTGGTGTCAATAATGAGGCGAATCAGATGTTTGGATTATCCAACCAGGATTTTCCAAATGCTTCCAGAATCAATGATAAGTTCTCTTGACAGCAATTTAAAAAACTGGAAAATCTCAGCAAACAGAAGTTATACAAAAGAACCAGGTGGAAATTACAGGACTGAATAGCTCCATGACTAAATAACCCAGTTCACTGGGTGGTCTCGCCCGTGAAGACAGCAGGGGACAGGGTCCGGGACTGCAGCAATTGAAGTAAGCCATGTGTGTCCTGGGTTCTCAGAGGGAGAGGGGGCCGGGGGTGGGGCTGAGAAAATACTGGAAGAAAGAGTGGTTGGAAAGTAGTAGGTATTACATCTACATACCTGACATCTGGCAACCGAGATAAGATGGATCCATTTCTCATAAAATGTAGGCAGGCTGCAATCTTAGAGCCCCTTCCACCTCCCATCCCTGCACTGTAGCATCGGAGCTACACGTCACGCACATGTTACGCACCTCGCAAGTCGATGTTGCACTATCTTGCTTTCGACAGCCCCACGTCTTGCAAAGAAACCAGGAGGAAATAGAACATATCTCATAATGATTTGGATATTTGCCTTTACGGGTTTTCTGTATTGCTTCTTCCCCGTGTGCTTTCCTGCCTGGCATCGCGGGGATGGCAGTGCCTTCAACGGGCAGAGTCCTAATAGCTGCTTTAAAATTCGTGTTGGCTAATTCCCATTTCTCGGTCATCTTGGAGTTGGTCTGCGTTGTTGATCTTTTCTCTGAAACCAGGTCACGTTATTGTGGTTCCTCTTACATTGCATAATTTGGGTAGAATCCTGAATATCACGTGGAGGAGGGTCTGGGTTTGGTGTTTTCCTCTAGAGCGTGTTGATGGTTTTGTCTCTGCCAGCAATTGGTTTGGTTGGATTCAAACTGTGAATCCTCTCAGGCAGTGGGTCAGATCTTGGTTGGGTTCTTCTGTCCTTTGCTGCTCTGTGTTCAGGGGTCAGGCGAGGGCAAGGAAAGAGATTAAGCACTGGACCCCAGGGCTCCCCCTCTTAGGTCTCCTTTCTCCTCCCCATTCCCAGTGGCTGTGGTTGCCCAGACACCATGGCCTCTTTGGGCTCCTTTTCTGTCAGACTCTGGCCAGCCTGCTTGGTTCTCACGTTGTTCTGCCCTCAGAGTGAGACTATAAACTGTAAAACATGGGAGGTTACCTCCAGGTGGTCTGTCCTCCCAAACCTCTCACCTCTCCAGAATCTGCCTGCTGTGGTTGGCTCTCCAATGTTGTCTTTGTGTGCAGAACCCAGTCATCCGGTTGCCCAGAGTCTAGAGTGGGGTTCACTTAGAGCTTGACCCACAATGGACACAGAAACCTCCTTTAGGTCTGGAAGGGAAATATAGTCAAAACGCAGAATGAGAGTCGAACGAATGCCATGTTTCAAACATCCACTCTTTCCAAGCAAGATCCTGTTTTATCTATCCATCCGGTTCTTTGATGCTTCTCAGTAGAATTTTCTTCATATAGATCCTGCATATTTCCTATCTGGTAAGTATCTAAAAGTATCATACTGAAATTGATTGCGTTTCATTTGCCTATATTTCCTTGGCATTAATTTGCTCACTGATGGAGGCCTCACTTGAGATGGGCCTTCCCCTCCTTGTGGCACCAGGAGTCTGCAGTCTCGTTCTGCATGTGCACCCTGTGTAGCTTCACACCAGGTCAGCCAAGCTCACCAGTGGTCCAGCCCAGTTCCGGGCCTGCCTTGTAGTCATTGTCCTGTTGAGCTCTTGGGGTTGGGGTTACAGATCTTGGGTTGGTTCCAATTTGGTCTCTTCAAGGTAGAGTTCAAATGCAGATAGATGATCACATATGCTCTGGCCTTGCTGAGAATGTCATATGCGGATAACTCTGAGACCTCTGCATGGACAACTCAGAATGGGGGTGGGGGGGGTCAAGCCATCTTCTCTGCTGTCCTTTTCTAAATATCTTTTTAATAGACTGAACCATCTCTGAGTGGAATTTACCACAAACGTGTAGAAATGACGTAAGAGTGAGGTTTTCCTTTCCTTTGGGTGAATGATTATATAGTTACTCCTGCTAAATTTTGGAGGAGGGTACCAAAAAATGGAATTTAAAATGATAAATTTTTTAAAAATAGCACATTATCAAGCATTTTAAATGGACTTGTTTTTAAAAATTAATTTTAAATATTAAAATCAAGATCAGAAAAATTGAAATCAACTTCCCTTTTAAAGACATACAGATGACCTCTGCTCCTAAATGTTACTTTTATATTCTGGATCCCCATAGGTTGAATGGGGATCCAGGTTGAATTCCCCATAGTTGAATTCTCGAAGTGTTTGGCTTATCTCTAGCATCTAATGGGAACTTGATGTGGAATAGAATTAAAAAAAAAAAAGCAAATGTCCTTTCCCATGAAGGAGATCTCATTTCCTTAAATTTCATTTAAGAAAATAAGTACTTTAATCATATGCTATGAAGAGGAGTGATACCTGAGAAGGTTACTCATTGTAGGTAGAAGACTTGGCTATTTCACTGGACTATGCAGTCCTCCCCTTAAAAAAATAAAAAATAAAATAAAAATAAATCATTGCTTCCCCAAAGAAGTTACGAGAGACCAACAGCGCACTAAAAATACTTTATTGTCATTACTAAATGCATTATACATGATAAACAGAATACACTGTACATCTGATGAAACACACAGAGCCTTCATCAAGGCAAAAAAATAGGCATAGAATGGAAAGATGGCACGCATTAAGAAAAAAATGAACGGCTCTCAAATATTGCAATAACTATAAAATGTGCCACAGATAGTCTACAACCTTTCCATTGAACAAAACAGGGACAAAACATTATATACAGTGTGAAGAAATTAAATGTCAGATATCCCACTGAAGGAGAAAATATTAGCATCCTGGAATATTTTTTATTCCTGGTCCGTTTTCTGCCCACTGGAAAAAATTGCACTGCTTTGCCTTCTCAAGAGGACAGACAAAAAAATTCTTTCCGTTATTAGGTCCAATCTTCAACACCGTTCTCATGACAGAGCGTTTGCCATGGTCGCAGAGTGGGAAGGACAGATCTGCCCACTATAGGGTGAAAACAGAAGGATTGCAGAGTTTAGGTGCAGGTTAGGAATAGGCAGAGGCTGAGCCTGGGGGCATGTGGTCAGCACACCCCATGTTCCCTGCTACTGCTAATCTGACGTTGTAAAATCGACACAAGCCATCAGTTCTTGCCCTTAGAAAAGCCTAGATCCTATAAGACGGATCTCTCCTACAAATGGGCTTGAGTCAAACAGAAAACTGCCATAATTCCGAGTTTCTCTTGGTCTCAAGGCATGCTTATTCTTTCCTCTTTATGGCAAGTATCTGGAAATGATCAGAATCTTGCTGTAAAGCAATCACCAATATTTCTGCTATCAATCTGTTTTAGTGAAAACGATGAAGATCAAAGATCTGCTATGATTTTAATACTAAACTCCCTTCATCTCTTAGGAAAGAATCCGATGCAGAATTGCATGGATGAATTTAAGCAGATTCCACTGTATTATTCTTATAAATTTTGGCCTCTGGGAGCTTTTAGAGCAGGCTGTGATATTATTAATTTGCCACCTAATCCTTTCTCCGTTACATCCCCAAAAACTCCTCGAGGAGGAAATGCAGTCAGTTCAGCAGGATGGAGTCACATGTTCGCAGGGGGTAAGACCCAAAGTCATCATCCCGTTCTCCCTGGAAACTTTCTTAGGAAGACAGCCCCCTGAAGACAGAGATTTTCTCTCTCAGCAAGCTCAACCCCCAAAATTTTGCTCCAGCACTAAAACAGATCAGTATTTTCTTTCTTTTTTTTTTTTTTTTGCAGTTATGTACCAGATGCAACAGTTAGACAAAAATGTATCTTTAAACATCAGAATTACATAATTGCATAATGAGAGGCTCACACCCTGAGAAACACAGATGGTGAGCCAGAGGAGGAAGGACTCTAGATTCTAGTGTCCTGTCCCATCTTCACTTCCAGGGACATGCTCACAGATCTGCGAGGAGGGCAGAGCCGTCCTATATTTACACTGTCAGTGTGCAAGCTTGTGCAATCAGATTCACAAAGTTTACTGTAAACCCAAGGTCTGCAAACTATTTCTCCTGTGTCCTTCTATCCAGTGCATAAACCAAACTTTTGTAGCAGAAGTTAGGAAGAGTTTTTGTATCATGGGTTAGTTGCCACCTGGGTAAATCACTCCCTATCTTTCTATCTTTATAAACCAAGGGTGACAAACCTGCACTTGTGGTTATGCATGTGACACACTAGAATCATCTAACAGCTATTATTTGATTAGTTTTTCTTTTTTGGACAAAGCTCTTTGAATTTTAAGTCCTTCAACGCTCAGGCTTTGGACTGAAGTGTCAAATGGCTATTTGAAATTTCCAGATGAAAAACAGGGACACCTGGGTGGCTCAGTAGTTGAGCATCTGCCTTCGGCTCAGGTTGTGATCCCAGGGTCCTGGGGTCGAGTCCTGCATCGGGCTCCCCACAGGGAGCCTGCTTCTCCCTCTGCTTACGTCTCTGCCTCTGTGTGTGTGTGTGTGTATTCTCATGAATAAATAAAGTATTTAAAATAAAATAAAACAATAAATAAAGGTGAAAAGGAAAATAAAATTTAAAAGTGAAACTGGAAAAAAAGACCACTATTTATTCCTTTTTTTTCCTCTAGAGAAGCAGGGAGGAGGGGCAGAGAGAGAAAGAGTATCTTAAGCCCCAACTTGAGGACTGAGCTCAGAAGCCTGAGCCAAAATCAAGAGTCAGACCCTTAACCCCCTGAGCCACCCAAGTGGCCCCCAACTATTTATTACATTTTAATAACGGTAGTCTTCAATTGCACGAGAGTAAGCTGGAAAAATCTCATGCATACCTGGAAAAACCCACACTGTGCTTCTCTAGGTAGAGAACAAGCATAAAACCGCCTGCCCTTGTTGTCGCCATCCTTCCGCACAATTCGGAGAGCGCAGAGGCGGTTGTGTTTACTGCAGCGAGGACTGTCAGCATTTAACACACAAGCTCCATCTGTCATATTAATTCCAGGTTCACTGTAATGACAGGTTACAAAGTTACTACGGGGTAACCATGCTAAAGGGATCATTCCTAGCCGCCCCCACCCCCCACCAGAATTCCACTTGTACGAAGACATGGTACTGAACAGTGGACCATGGTCAGCTGTACCTCATTGCACACTCTGCGACATCTTTTTAATTTGTGGTTTTCCCAGGCAATCCCAATTTACTTCCAAAGTTACCTGTGCATCCAGAGCACACAATTAAAATTTCTAAAGAACAAAAATGGCTGTAATGTCCATGTCCATCCACTTACTGACTTCTCATTGGTGACATGTGGTTCTTCCCTTATTCAGTATTACGCGGTGGCATCTTTTATCTCCTCTAAAATATTCTCAAGTCCAACTGCTCCCTGCCCCCTGAAGTAACTAGAATGACAGTCTTCTCTAATTATTTTCTCATCGCTGGCAAACTCTCATCGATGGCTCTGACAAGGCCAAAGAGATCACCCTTTCTATCGTCCATTTTAAAGGCAATTTTCTATTTGATCAAGGCTACATCTAATGGTTGCAATCATATTTCAGCAAGGCACAGGCTGCCTGGCAAAGTGTGGAAGTGTGTATTTGGGAAAGCTACTGGGGAAGCTTTCTTCTCCCCCACAATTAGGATCAAGAGTATCTGCAAGTTATTCTTCCAAACAGTGGTCAAAGGTCAGAAACCGAGCTTCTATGGTAGCTGGAGAAGCAGAATTTTCTCTTGGTAGAGGAGCTTCATGATTATTTAAATTTTTTTTCATATTTTGCATATTTTTAATAATGCCTTTATAAGAATTAGTCTTTTTAATAAACCAGTTGAAGAGAAAAAGAGCTCGCATTAATTAAAACCAAAAGCCCTTCCCATTAATATCCCTATTTTAAAATTTTTTCATGATAAAAAGATTCATCCTTTCTCACTTTTTTTTTGGTTAGAATATCATTATTAAATAATTTCTAGGATGGAATAAAATATCATTCTTAAATAATCTTGAAAAATACTTAAAAATCATAAATATTTCCCCTTTCTCTTGCTCCCTCCACGACATTCTTCATATACCTGTTCCTATAATGATGACTCAAGGTATCTTATCTAATTGAAATATTCAGAGTTTGAGGTATTTTTTCCTTCCAGTTGTATTCAGGTATAATTGACATATGAGGTCTTGTTTGTGCTGAAATTGCTTTAAAATCACTTATAAAACAGACGCTCAAATACATTGCTTTACATTAACTTGAATATTCTGAGGGTAGTTTCTGAAGCTGTTGATGCAGTAGACATTGCCAAGGAAATCCTTACAGTTAAATATTTTGCCAGCAACTCTTCTGTGGCTACCTTTTTCAGAGTGGGGGACGGTAGCTGGTATTTCAGAATCAGGTGATACCATCCAGAAATAGCAAAGCAGAAAGCGCAGGCTTGGGATCCCTGGGTGGCGCAGCAGTTTGGCGCCTGCCTTTGGCCCAGGGCGCGATCCTGGAGACCCGGGATCGAATCCCACGTCGGGCTCCCGGTGCATGAAGCCTGCTTCTCCCTCTGCCTGTGTCTCTGCCTCTCTCTCTCTGTGTGTGTGTGTGACTATCATAAATAAATAAAAATTAAAAAAAAATAAAAAATAAACCCAAGCCATAGACCAACTGACCTCAGTTCACATACTTTAAAAAAAAAAAAGATTTTATAAAAAAAAAAAAAAAAAAAAAAAAAAAGAAAGCGCAGGCTTGTCTTTCTCACATCCCCTCCTTTTCACCAATGCTCTACCGAGACAGGCCATACTAAAACCTTCAAGAGAAGCTAAATATGTAGACGGTTGTAGAAAAGGCAAGACATGTCAAAACCAAAGATCACAAATGTGCTTTAAAAAAACAAAATGGTTAAGAGAAAGAAAAAAAGGTCTAAAGAACATTAACAGAAAGGAGTGAAATGATGCTTTCTTACAGAAAAAAATGCATGCCTGCAAACACAGTTTTTTATATTATTTTGAAGGTGGCTGCCTTCGATAACAATTAGCTGAAGGTTATCTAACCCATTTGCTTCAACCTAGAAATCCCCAGGGCTCTGAATACCCAAGAGAGGTTTAAATTCCCTTACTAGTAAAGCTTTCCTGGGGAGCGGTGAGGGGCAGGTAGGATTAAGGTGTGTGTGTGGGAAACCAGTGTCCCCCTTGGGTTCCTCGTTTCTTTCATTCCATTTCTTCCTTGGTATAAGGTAAAGACAAATATGTCCACCTCCCTGGTACTCAGAGTGTGGTCCACTGACCAGAAGCATGGCATTACCTGGTTGAGCCTTGGAAACACGAGGATTACCCACCCTGCCTCAGATCCTCTGCAGCATTAGAACCTGGATGTTAACAAGATTCCCGGGTGATTCATATGCACATTAACTTGTGAGGCACTGAGTTAATGTAACCAGGATATTGATGCCACCTGTGATCACATCAACTCTAAATATGCATGGCTAATCTTAATTTTATGATAGAAAACATTATCCAGGATAATTAAATGTTCTGATTAATTGGGGACATCTTGGTTCCTCTTTGTTTCCATCATTATTTAAAAACTTTCTAAAACGTAGCAGAGCATTTTCTTAGGTAAACTTAGCACGCAAAATAGTTTGACTTGGATAACTAGGACCATCACTTTGAATATTAACATTGGATTATAAATGGCCTATTAATAAATACAATAGGTCAGGGGTTGACAAATCTATTCAGATGGCACATATTTTTAGCTCATGGGTCTTCACAGTCTCTGCTCCAAGAACTCAGCTCTGCCGTTGTAACATGAAAAGCAGCCATAGAACATACATAAGCCAGTGGGACTGGAACGTGTTCCAAAAAAACTTTATTTATAAAAACAGGTGGTGGCCTGGGACTGGGTGGCTCAGTGGTTGAGCACCTGTCCCTGGCTCAGGGCGTGATCCCGTGGTCTCAGGATCGAGTCCCACATCAGGCTCCCCTCAAGGAGCCTGCCTCTCCTTCTGCCTGTGACTCTGCCTCTCTCTCTCTCTCTCTCTTTCATGAATAAATACATAAAATCTTTAAAAACAAACAGGTGGTGGGCTGGATTTGGCCCTGCCGATGATAAAGTAAAAGAGAAGTGAGCAATGCTTGATGCCTAATAGGTTCTAAAGAAATACTCATTAACTAATAAATAAAGAACATTGAACAGAGATCAGATAAAAACTATTATCAGGAAAGGGGACATGACCATGCACAAGTCTGTAATTTTCAAATGGACGGTTTCCAATGATCAATTTATCATGGTTTAAGTTATTTTACAGATAGGGTGATTCAATACATTAAAAACACTGCCTAAAATTTTTTGAATGAATCCGTCTCACTGAATGTAGATTTCGGAGCTCAGTGGTATTTCAAGAAATAAAACAGAGGTTCAGTGACCTCCTAGATGGTCCCCAGTAGTTCTAGAGTCTTTAGGGGCTGAAAACCCCACAGGTGACAGGAAGGCCCATAAGGAGGGGGTCGGTGCTTCCCGGGTCTTGGAGGGAGAGTCGGCCAACCCCGACGCAGCAGACATGAGACAATGTCATGACTCTGTCAGTTTTATTTCCTCATCTGCTCAGCTCTGGAGAAGCCTTAAGGTAAAACCACGTATATTCCTTGAATACATACCACTGTGTTTTGCTCTGTATTTACAGTAATTGGATCAAAGACCTAAAACCGTTTCTAGCAGTCATTCTGAACTGCTTAAGAACTGGTTCAACGATCTCATTTATAATCCAGTAGCTGGATAAAATTCAAGTGTATCCAAAGACCAATCTGAAAATAGGCCTCATCACCACAGCACGTATCATGTGGTGATGAGATCAGTAATTAAGAGAATAAAAGGCAAATTAATTACCATATAATTATTAAGGGAAAAAAATAAACTGGCTATAAATCCTCTGAGTGGACCACCTGCTTTACTCGTATTATGTTGTGAGCTTCTGCTCGGCATCTTGTCCGCAAGATGAACACTGTAGCTGCCAGACAAGGAGAAAAATGAAATAAATGACAGTAATTTGCAATTTATTCCTTGTAAAGTAGCTGGGTGCAGAAGGGCTGCTGGGTGAATGTATTTCATCACTTGACATTTATTCTGCTAGTTGATCTTGATTGATTTTAGAGTCTCAGTCCTGGGGTTCTTATATTCAACACATACCCAGGCTGCAGTGTTTCTAAGTAATGCTGTGTGCCGTGATTAATCATATGACCCTATTACTAATGGCTTATGAAGAAATCATTTAAATTTAAGGTTACATTAATGTTTTTTTAAATCCCTAATTCATTAGTTAAATTGTCTGAGATTTTCCAACAAAGCACTTGAGGAAATAAAAATATGCCAAGATATTTCATCTGGGTCCAACGAATGCCACAACACTTTTAAAATGCTCATGTCTACTTCTTTCCACCGAAGCTTCGGAACAGAAAAGACTTCAATAGTGAGTTTTCTAACGGGAGAGACTCCCAGCTCAGACACTCCTGACCCTAGCTCCTCGTGACCTTGGATTGGGGTTCATTAGACGTTAGTTAGGATTAAAGTGTAGAGGTAGTGTCCCTATCCGGTCAGGTAAATGCTTGGACCTCCACGGCTTAATTCAAATGTCTACCATTTCTGAGTATTATGGACAAAAGTTAAAGCAGTTATTATAAATGATCGGGAACAAGATTTTTTTGAGAAATCAGCCAAGTAGATAAATCATCAAGACTAAGTGCCAGCAAACTTGGAGTTGGGGTAGGAGACTCAAGACAAAGGCATCTATTGACCACACACTGACTCAGAATTACGAAATAAGCTCTAAAGTTTCCTAGAGGCTGGGCTGGGATGGTGCCCCAGCTGGTCCCCCATCTTGCTGCCTGAGGGAAGAATCTTCCCCTCAACAAAGACACAGCCCTTCTGGGGAGAAGCTAGTAATGCAACCCGCTGCCCCATACCCCACAATCACTGTATATCCCACTCACACCAACTCTTTTCTGCCTGTCTCCCACTGGTGAGGAAAGACCCACGAGAAGAAGACCCTCCACCTCCACTTCCTGTAGAAATGTAGAAGGCACCTTGCTTTCTGAAGGAAAAGAAACAAAAAAAGCCAGGAAAAGAAAACTGTGGAATGATGTCTCTGAGGGAAGCCTAGTATCAGGTTGTGAGAGTCAGGACTCCCAGAGAGAGGGTCTAAGCAAGGCAGCGTGGACAGGTAGTTTCAGGCGCTGCCAAGAGTCCTAAGAGAAGGGGTGACGCTGTTTATTAACACCGCAGTATCTGTGGTGACAGCAACTGGGGGGGGGGGGGGAAGAGGGGCTTCTCCTAGATGTGAAGCTCATAGTCTCGAAACAGGAAACACATCTGGTCTGCTAGTATTTACTCATCAAAAGGACAACGTTTCAAGTTCAGATACAAAAGCAGCACACGTGTTCCCTGGGCCTTGTGGGCTGAAACCAACACCAGCCTCACCCCCAACAGGGCTACTGAGATAAAGCCACATTCTTGAGCAGCGTTGTCACTAAAAGTATCTCCGATCCCTCCCTTGAGAAGAGAAGACACTTGCTAAACTGCCATGAGTTAAGTCTCCCTTTTAGAAGAACGATCTTTCTTTGGAAGGAAATATTAAAAAAAAAAAAAAAAGAATGCTAACAGTGGTGATTGATATCAGGTGGGATTATGGGGGATTTAAACATTTTTCTTTACACTTTCCAATATTTTCCGAATATTCCGTATCGAACTGTAGACAGGTGCAGTCAGAATAAAATCACTTTTTACAAATAGCAGTGGAAGGTTCTGTTTTCATTCTCTTCCCCTTTCGAACATTCTAAGCTAGAGGAAGTGAGGGAAATAAGCTATCATAATCACCTTTGCAGGTCTGGTTTACCTTTCAAAATCTACGTCATTTCTTTAGCAGCGGCTGACTTCCTGTCTTCTTAAAACTGAAAGCATATACCTTTCAGGATCAAGGTTAGAAGTTATCATACCTGTTAGAAAACCCAGGGTGACCACTTTTGAGGTCTGATGATGAGGAGTGGGTTGTTTTCAATTTTTTATACGCTGGACTAAATAATTTAGACTGAGCGCAGACCGCAGGCGATACGTTTACTTTGTCAGATGGTTGAGGGGTACGGTTTGTTCTCTCCTTGGAAGGGTGAAGCGGATCATCACTAGAACAAACGTTAGTCTGAGGAGGGTTTTGAAATTCTCCATCCAGTATCTGGTTTTGGCTTGTTTTTCTTTCCAGACCACTGGATTTATTGCTGAAATCGACCAAGACAAGGGTTGTAGTTCCAAAGGCTGTTTTCCTGTTGATCTTCACTTCTGTACTCGGTTTTCCAAAGCTATTACAAGGGTATTTCACTAAGTTGGTAAAGCCAATAGAATTGTCTTCATTCTTGATGGCTAAGTCTGGGAGGAGAGAGACGTAATTGAGCAGTGTTCCAATAATATATTGGCTATCTGAAATATACATTTGTAATATGTATTTGTAATATATTGACTACCTGAAACATCTTTTTATTATTTTTTATTTTTTAAAGAATTTATTCATGAGAGACTCAGAGAGAGAGGCAGAGACAGGCAGAGGGAGAAGCAGGCTCCATGCAGGGAGCCCGATGTGTGACTCGATCTCAAGACCCCGGGATCATGACCTGAGCCAAAGGTGGAGGCTCAACCACTGAGCCACCCAGGCGTCCTGAAACATCTTTTGAAATAATTAAAACTTACTCACCCATGATAGTGAATACCTAGAAGGAATAATACACAGTGTGGACAATTTAGGGTTAGTCAACTTCTTGCTAGGAAATGAAGTATTACATAAAGAGCAAAATTTCAACAACTCAGAGAGGTTCCGAGGTGGGTTTAACAAAGATTTGTATTTGCTTCCTCCTGTGTTTAACCATTTAAAGGTCATTCAGCTATCAGTTTTGTTACTATGAGGCAGCATATTGAAACATGCCTTTAAACATTAAAGCATATTAAGACGTGCTATGCCATGAAGCTTTAGATCAGCGGTTAGAGACCCCACTCTAGATTATCAGGAATGTTTCTGTGAATGACACAGTAAAGGGAAAGGCTTAGTAAAATTAAGCAAAGTTGAATCACAAAGACTTAAGATCAATTAAAAATGTTTCAATAGGGGCGCCTGGGTGGCTCCCTCCGCTATGCATCTGCCTTCGGCTCAGGTCATGATCTCCGAGTCCTGGGATGGAGCCCGCGTCAGGCGCCCTGCCCAGCCCGCTTCTCCCTCTCCCTCTGTCAGCCACTTCCCCTGCTTGTGCTCTCTTTCTGTCAAATAAATAAATAGAATCTTCAAAAAAAAAAAAAGTTTCAACAAAGCATCCCAGGATTTTGGAATCCGTACTGTAATATGTTCTAAATTGTAGTCTTTTGTACTTAGAAAAACACCAAGAAAATAGTTAATGAGATGCAAAAAGGCATTTCAGTTGAAATGAAGGTGGAGACCTAAGACTGTGGTTTTTCTGAGGGCTTTCTACCCAAAGATCCCAAAACAGGAGGTGCCATCCCTTCCAGCAAAGCTGTGAGCGGAGCCAGGCCCGCCTTTCTGGCCCAGAGAACAAAACCCAGTGTGACAGCTAGCACAATGTGGGGTCCGCAAGTCAATAATGAACTTTCTCATCTCTAATTGAAGGAAGAAAGAACACTTTGGGAACACAATAGAAGCTGCGTCAATGAGCTGGTTCTTAATCACGGGCTCTCTCGGAGGTTTTACTTTCTCTGAACACATGAAATTGGGAGCTGTAAAGAGTTATTTTGAAGGATTTCAATGAAATCAGTACAATTGTCTGGGTAAAGATTTTAATAACAAGGGGTAGGAAGGATAAAGAAGAGAAAAAATTCAGCATTTTTCTATTCCACCTGCAACGATATTCTTACAGAAATCCTCCCTTTCAGTTTACGAAGCACTTGGACTGAATAACAAACTTAAAAGTTGCTGAAATCTGCATAAAACAAAAGCTTTATTGAATAATTCATTAGAAATAGAAGAGAACAGATGTGATCATCTCGGTTTTTAGAGATACAAAGGCACATACTCTTTTAGCACAAGCATGTCTTCCTTCCCTGTTGAAAAAAAAAAAAGGGCTCAACAGAATATTAGCGTGGTTTACATGCAAAAGCTGGCAATTCCTTTAAACCTTTCAGAAAGAGAGCATTTTACTTACTTATGAAATATCAAGATGGAACAAGATATATACCTTTGTATAATTAGCCCTCTTTGAAGCGGAATGCACTCAGAATCAGAATTTCAGGCTTACCGGTAGGCCTGGAAGTCAGGCAAGCATCACACATCTTCGAAGACGGCCTATTGAGCAGCGTACAGACCACGCATGCCCACTGCTCTTCAGACTTCCCAGCCACATGGTCCCCACTGCTACACGGCCACCTGATTGTAGTGTCTCTCCTGGGCAACCTGCTACAAAAGAGCGTTCAAAGTTCCTCATTAACACAGTTGACTGTTGTCTTGTTCTTTTTTGTTTGTTTGTTTGTTTGTTTTTTTGTTGTTGTTGTCTTGTTCTTACGCATTCTGCGTATTTTAGAAATTCTTATAACCATTAACACCCAAATGTGTAGCAGCCCTAACTCTCTAGAATATGACATTTCCAACTGTGCCCTGCTGATTGCTATTAAAGACAGAAATAACAAATAAACGTTTGTATTTAGAATCAGAGTTGTGTTCTTGCTGTTGTTCTTGTTGTTTCAACTCAGTAAAAATGGTTGACATAACTGCTAGGAAGCATTTCTCAAAGAATGTTTTAAGGAAGTGGCTAAGTGGTACTCGTCCCAAAGCCAGACTCAGATATTTTTATTCAAACAAACAGGGGGTGGGGGGTTGGTAGGAGAAAAGACTTAGGCAGCAATTAGAACACGGAAAGGACAATGAGAAAAACTTTACAGTTACCTCACATGCGTATCCCTCTAGAATTCTCAACGCTCTCTACTAAAACACTATATCGATCAGCTAATCTATCATGAAGAAAAAGAAACCTAGCTTTCTTTGTATTACTTCCCTACAGGTAAAAACTGCTTCCCATGAGATATCTAATTAATATTTAGTAAGAAAACAATAAAACCAACCCTGATTTTTGGACACAACCGTAAATCATGATTTCCCACCTGGAATTCTTAATTGACTATTTATTGTTATACAAAATGCCTTTAAGAGCTCTGATAAAGTCCTACACTTTTTTTTTTAAGATTTTATTTATTCATTAGAGACACACACACACAGAGAGAGAGAGAGAGAGAGAGAGAGAGAGGCAGAGACACAGGCAGAGGGAGAAGCAGGCTCCATGCAGGAAGCCTGATGCGGACTTGATCCCGGGTCTCCAGCATCACACCCTGGGCAGAAGGCAGGCGCTAAACTGCTGAGCCACCCAGGGATCCCCTAAAGTCCTAGTCTTAAATACAGAGTTCTACAAAGCCCATCACGTGGGCAAGCAACCTGGCCACGACACGGATTCCTTTCAGGATTCCGAACACTCGTACTGAGAAAAGCTCTTTGGGTAAAGGCGATGGGCCCTCCTATTTGAGAGCACGAGTTCTCTGACCTGCAGAGGTACCCTGTCTCCCCTAACAATTTGCTCCTCACGGAGAGTCACGCCAGTTGTTAAATTCAAGCTTGTCTGGTGAGATAACAAATAGCACAAGACAATCTGGAAGGCTGACGCATCTCATTATGGTTCTTCTATCTTGACTTTTAACGCTCTTCAGTGCTTCTCATCCCTATGGACCCCAGACCTTCCATAGAATCTGCGTCCTTGACCTAACTCCTGCCCTCCGACCAACTTGCTCTGAAAGGCAGCAAGATGCATTTACTCATAATTAAATAAACACAATTTAAAGAATCTTCAGACTTTCTACACGCTTCAATTTTTCACCATTTTCACCTTCTGCGGATTTCAGTGACCACAAGCATGTATGTTTATGGTTTCCAGCAGAAGCTCTGGAAGCATTTCCGCCCCTTACTGTCCCACTTCTTAATCACTTACTGAGAAATTCTTTCCAGTCTACACTTGGATGTGCAACAGGAATTTCAAATTTAATATGTTTGTAGCGGACTAAGAGTCTGCCAAAGCTAGCGAGTGATAATGCCAGGGACCTGTAAACATTGTTTTATAAAGAAAGAGGACCTTTGCTGCCGTAATAATTAAAAACCTCAACGTGGGGAGATTGTCCTGGATCCTCTGGGTGGTCCCTGAACCCAAAGGCCAGTGTCCTCGTAGGACAGAGGCGGAGGGAGACGACACCCACGCAAGAGAAGGCGCTGTGACCGCAGAGGCAGAGGCTGGAGCCACAGAAGCCACGAAGGCCGCAGGTGCCCCCTGGGCCCAGGAGGGAACGCGGAGTCCTGGCGTCCAGGAGGGGCCGCGCTCGGCTTCCCGCCCGCAAGTCCGGGCCCGGTGCCCGGAAGGTTCACACCCCACCCCCCGCACGCCCCAAACCTATGAGTCGCCCTTCACAGCGCTTCGCGCCGGGTCGCCCCACGTCCAGGCCAGAAAGGCAGCAGGCCCCGCCCCGGGCGAGCGCACCCTGAAGCGAGGGGCCCCGCGTGTCCCCTGCGGCCCGAGCGCGCGCGGAGCGGGAGCTGCACCTGCAGGGTGCCCGGGGCCCAGGCCCTGCGAGCCCAGGAGGCCTGGGGCTCCTCGTGGGCTACCCCGGCCGCCCGCAGACCCGCTGCACCTGCTGCACGGCAGGCCGGGTGCCCTGGGGGAGGGGGCCCCGAGCAGGTCCGCGCACTCTGCCCCTGCCCCAGGCTGCAGGGCTGCTGGGCACCCGCGTCACCCGCGCACCATGCTGGGGACGATGGGCGGAGGGGCGACGGGACCGGGCGGAGGGGGGACGGCAGCAGGCGGAGGGGGGACGGCAGCGGGGCGGAGGGGGGACGGCAGCGGGCGGAGGGGCGACGGCCGTGGGGCGCAGGGCTGACGGCAGCGGGCGGAGGGGGGACGGGAGCGGGCGGAGGGGGGACGGGAGCGGGCGGAGGGGGGACGGGAGTGGGCGGAGGGGGGACGGCAGCGGGTGGAGGGGGGACGGGAGTGGGCGGAGGGGGGACCGCAGCGGGTGGAGGGGGGACGGGAGTGGGCGGAGGGGGGACGGCAGCGGGTGGAGGGGGGACGGCAGCGGGGTGGAGGGGCGACGGGATCGGGCGGAGGGGAACGGCAGTGGGGCGCAGGGGGGTACGGCAGCGGGCGGAGGGGGGACGGGAGCGGGCGGAGGGGGGACGGCAGCGGGGTGGAGGGGGGACGGCAGCGGGGCGGAGGGGGGACGGGAGCGGGCGCAGGGGGGACGGCAGCGGGCGGAGGGGGGATGGCAGCGGGCGCAGGGGGGACGGCAGCGGGGTGGAGGGGCGACGGGACCGGGCAGAGGGGAACGGCAGTGGGGCACAGGGGGTACCGCAGAGGGTGGAGGGAGGACGGGAGCGGGCGGAGCGGGGACGGGAGCCGGCGGAGGGGGGACGGCAGCGGGGCGGAGGGGGGACGGGAGCGGGCGGAGGGGGGACGGCAGCGGGGCGGAGGGGGGACGGGAGCGGGCGGAGGGGGGACGGGAGCGGGCGGAGGGGGGACGGCAGCGGCGGAGGGGGGACGGGAGCGGGCGGAAGGGGGACGGCAGCGGGGCAGAGGGGGGACGGCAGCGGGGCAGAGGGGGGGACGGCAGTGGGCGGAGGGGGGACGGCAGCGGGGTGGAGGGGGGACGGCAGCGGGGCGGAGGGGGGACGGCAGCAGGCAGAGGGGGGACGGGAGCGGGCGGAGGGGGGACGGCCGTGGGGCGCAGGGCGGACGGCAGCGGGCGGAGGGGGGACGGCAGCGGGGCGGAGGGGGGACGGCAGCGGGGCGGAGGGGGGACGGCCGTGGGGCGCAGGGCGGACGGCAGCGGGCGGAGGGGGGACAGGAGCGGGCGGAGGGGGGACGGCAGCGGGGCGGAGGGGGGACGGCCGTGGGGCGCAGGGCGGACGGCAGCGGGCGGAGGGGGGATGGCAGCGGGGCAGAGGGGGGACGGCAGCGGGGCAGAGGGGGGGACGGCAGTGGGCGGAGGGGGGACGGCAGCGGGGTGGAGGGGGGACGGCAGCGGGCGGAGGGGCGACGGCCGTGGGGCGCAGGGCAGACGGCAGCGGGCGGAGGGGGGACAGGAGCGGGCGGAGGGGGGACGGGAGCGGGGCAGGGGGGGGACGGCAGTGGGCGGAGGGGGGACGGCAGTGGGGCAGACGGCAGTGGGCGGAGGGGGGACGGCAGCGGGCGGAGGGGGGACAGGAGCGGGCGGAGGGGGGACGGGAGCGGGGCAGGGGGGGGGACGGCAGTGGGCGGAGGGGGGGACGGCAGTGGGGCAGACGGCAGTGGGCGGAGGGGGGACGGCAGCGGGCGGAGGGGGGACGGGAGCGGGCGGAGGGGGGACGGGAGCGGGCGGAGGGGGGACGGCCGTGGGGCGCAGGGCGGATGGGAGCGGGCGGAGGGGGGACGGCCGTGGGGCGCAGGGCGGACGGCAGCGGGCGGAGGGGGGACGGCAGCGGGGCAGAGGGGGGACGGCAGCGGGGCAGAGGGGGGGACGGCAGTGGGCGGAGGGGGGACGGCAGCGGGGTGGAGGGGGGACGGCAGCGGGCGGAGGGGCGACGGCCGTGGGGCGCAGGGGGGACGGCAGCGGGCGGAGGGGGGACGGCAGCGGGCGGAGGGGGGACGGCCGTGGGGCGCAGGGCGGACGGCAGCGGGCGGAGGGGGGACGGCAGCGGGGCAGAGGGGGGGACGGCAGCGGGGCGGAGGGGGGACGGCAGCGGGGCGGAGGGGGGACGGCAGCGGGGCGGAGGGGGGACGGCCGTGGGGCGGAGGGGGGACGGCAGCGGGGCGGAGGGGGGACGGCCGTGGGGCGCAGGGCGGACGGCAGCGGGCGGAGGGGGGACAGGAGCGGGCGGAGGGGGGACGGCAGCGGGGCAGGGGGGGGACCGCAGTGGGCGGAGGGGGGACGGCAGCAGGGCGGAGGGGGGACGGCCGTGGGGCGCAGGGCGGACGGCAGCGGGCGGAGGGGGGACAGGAGCGGGCGGAGGGGGGACGGCAGCGGGGCGCAGGGGTCGGGGGCGGGCTGCTGCTTCCAGGCGCGGGTTCCCGCAGCGCCGTCGCCAGGCCCCGCAGGAGCATCGGGGGGTACGCGGGGACGCGCCCGCCTGGCCGTCCCGCCCGCCCCCCGCGGAGCTGGGCCTCCCGGAGGCTGCGCCCCACCGACCTCCCGCGAGGCACTGCCCTGGGCCCGGGGCCCCGCCGGGGAGCCTAGGCCTTGGGCTCAGGGCGTGACCCCGGGGTCCCGGGATTGAGTCCCGCAGGGAGCCTGCTCTCCCTCCGCCTGTGCCTCTCTCTGTCTCAGGAATAAATACACAAAACAACCCCCCAGAGCCCGCTCGCGGGGCCTCCTCACAGGCAGGAGGCGGTG